TACTAGCGATGGCCTCCAGCCAAATAGCGATGGCCTCCAACCTAATAGCGATGGCCTCCAACCTAATAGCAATGGCCTCCAACCTACCAGCGATGGCCTCCAGCCAAATAGCGATGGCCTCCAACCTACTATAGCGATGGCCTCCAACCTATAGTAGCGATGGTCTCCAACCTAATAGCGAGTCCTTTTGGGCTTATTTGTTTTGCTCCCTGTTGTGCATTTCGAAACATTTTTCTGCGATTCATTCAGTTGGTCGACTTGGTCGGGTTCAGCCAGAGGCTAACATCCCTTTCAAGAGCGTCGAGGAGCGCCCAAGAGGTCAAAATCAGTCAGTGAACGATTCTTCAAGATTCGGGGAAACTCAACAATCCCAGTTGCAAAGGGAAGAGTCTTTCTGGAGATCCAGCATCATTTCCATGATAGAAGGTCCGCTTGAAAGTAGATAATGTTTGATACAACGGCTTTACCGATTCTAGTCTGGTATACCGCTAGTGCATGCTAGTGCCGGGTTCAGATTTCCTGTGGATGTTGATGTAATGTTTCTTGGCCAAGACGGGGTCAAGGACCTGAAGAAACTCAACAAGAATAAGAAGATGGTGAAGAAGTGCCGTGTCGCAAGAAAGATGGTTCCATGTCGCAAACTGACGATGAAGACTGAGTAACTACTGGTCGGTCCGACCCTTGGGGCGCCCAAGGCTGGCCGATAGCTTCGATGCCTTTCTGGCCTCGCAGGTGCGAGATGGTGGGGGTCGCTGGCAACGGCCTTCCTAATAGCTTTTAGGGTGAACAGAGACGTGGAGTGAGGATGTTGTTGATGTTCTTGTTTGTATTTATGTTCGCCCAAGTGGAAGAATCTAGAAGACCTGAATGAAATCGATTGGAGTCTAAACGACACCTTAGACGAGCAGGACTTGTGCATGTCGCTGCTCAGGTGCTCATTCCACAGATTCCCAGATTGTTAGGGCCTGGCCTCAACAAGGCGAATATGTTTTGCACGGAACAAACACATGCGCAGCCGATAATATTAAAAAGAAACGGGTCATAACTTCCTATGGAGAATGACATGACATGCATCATTTCCATGTCGAAACACAGCTGTTTTTTCTGTGCTTGTTTATTCTTCCGCTGTTTGCAGTGCACGGTCAGACAGGCTGGAAAGTTCCCGACTTTGGTGCAGCACTCTGACAACTTGGAGACCAAGGTGACAGAGGTGAGGAGTCAGGCCGGAGTGACACGGAAAAAGAAAGCACGTGAAGCTTTGCATTGGCGAGCGAGAGAGTGAACATTGTGCAAAGAGGTCAACATGAGCAACACTCCTTCAAGGAGACACCTGTGCAACATTGCGCACTGGTTTTCTGATAATTTTAGTATGTCTCGGTAGTCTTGGCAAGATACGATCTCCAGAACGTTCTGACAGACTGTAAGACAAAGCAGTGCAAAGCAGTGGAGCGTTTCCGCTCAAAGGGCTCAGAGCAGAGGTGAAGTTTCAGCTGAAGAAGGTCTTGTGCATGGGTGTGGCGGTTGGCAACGTGCAGATGACGCCAGATGAGCTCAGGACAGGTCTCTGGAAAAACAGTTCACTCAGTCAACTGACTAGCCATGGCTCTTCCGAGGAGTTCGCTCTAAAGCTCTGAACATTTATGAATCTAGCCAAACCCCGCTTTGCTCTTGGCCATGGTAATTAGGAATTTCGAGGACCTCGGAGTGACTATGAACCCAATCACACACACATCATGTGGAGAGAAACTATAGGCTTCTTTGTGAAGATGTGTCGAGATGTCGATTTCGAGCGAAGTTTATCCAGTAAACGAACGTTTGTAAACATGACATAAAAAGTGACATGTGTCAGTTGGAGACCATCTGGTAGGCAGAATTGCTTGATGGCCATCAACTTTCTGGTCTCCTTGCTGAAGAAGAATTGGAACAATGCTTCTTTGGCACAGCTTTCATCGGCTTTGCAACAAAGATCAGAGTGGAACCACTGGAGCTTGAACAAGACATTTTTGCGTTTCTTGATATTTCTGGTGAACAAGAGTTGGTGAAGTCAATTAATTGCATATTCTGGAAAGCCTGATTGAGAATCCACAAGACACGTTTCTGACCCCTGAAGCAAGCCAAACTGGCTAAACTGGCTAAACCACTAAGACGGGTTTTGTGCCTTCGCGCTGCGCCAGGTGAAGCGCTTGCACATCAAGTCGACCATGGGCAAGCCTTTCACCATCTACGGCTAAGCGATGCCATGCTAAGCAAAGTCGAGCAACGCCAGTCGAGCACAGTCCACGGTGAAGCCTTAAAGCCCAGTGAAAAAAACGGCGGCTGGGTAGATAGATTGGTAGATGGAGGTAGTGATGGAGGTAGTGGCGCTTCTCTTCGGCAACATGTCGTGCTTGGACGGTGAAGTGCTTTTCTGGCTTATCCGCTCACACAGCGATGGGTTTGCCAAGACCACTTGGACCATGCCAACTGCATGTATTACTGTGAAAGAGAGTTTGCTTGCAATCCATTGCTCACGATCAGGATTTATCACACAAATGTGGAGCCATCGAGCGCGTCGGAGCGCGTCAGAGCGCATCGTCTTTGCAGCAGGCGAACATGATCCTACACCTAAATGCATCCATGCCGACTTTTTCCCAAAGAAGTGTTTTGGAACACCGCGGGCCGCACTATCCATGGCTCAATGTCCAACTCTTCCTCCAATGATGTGTGGCTTGACAGGGACAGTTGTATGCAGTAAATTGCACTTCAATTGCACCAGAGCAAGACCAACGTTTTTAACTTAAGGAGCACATGAGTAATTCTGTGGGTCGAATCGAGGCCTAGCTCACGCGCCCTTGAAGAGCTCCTTGACTTTGGTACTAATTCTTTTGCCACCTTTTGTGTGAAAGTTATGGAACAAACCTGCACGAGTCTCAATTACTCCTTTCTGCCCCTTGGTGGCGACATTCTGTGCCAGGTTCTTCCGCTTCATGCAGTGCCAGCTTCGCATGGAAGCTGAGGGTTGTCTCCAAGAGGATTTGGAGCTCCCAGAGCGTGAGGCTGGAGAGTGCTTTTCCGTTGCCTGTAGCTCTGTATTTTCTGCGTGTCTTTGCTTTTTAGTCTTGATATGTCTTGACATTGGGCCATCCCCAACGTATTGTCTATGGCCATGGTGGGATCCAGTATGTTGACTGGTACCCAATTCAAGCCCCACTCATCCAGCAAGCCATGTCCTTACAAGCAAATGACTCGACGGAGAAGTTCTCAGGCAAACTTCTGGCAGACCTTCCGCACCTGGGTTCAACCCAACCTTGGCAAGAAGGCGCCCAGAGTTCAGTGGCAGGTCATGCTTTTCACAAAAACACCCACAAAACCTCAAAAGTGAGAAGAGTTTTTAGAATGACAAGCAGTTCTCAACTGAGTGGAAGGAGGTCCTGTATTTATAAATGTCTGAGAGGTACTGTCAGTTCATGTTTGTTCTGCCAGGAGAAATGGATGCCATTCCATACTGTCGGGAGCTTTTTGGGTTTCTATTTCTATTGTCCTCGTCGGTGTTTTCTTTCGTTTCGGATCATTCATCCTATTCTTTGTAAGGTGCTTGGATCACACGAGCTCTTCATTGTGCAGAATATTCACCACAACAAAGATCTCCCCTGGAATGAGAAGCGTCATTTACTTGGCTAATTCGGATTTGCAAGTTTCAACTCCGTGTGAAAGCGCTGAGGCAGGTTTTTGGCAATGTTTGTGCTTCGATCTAAGCAGCATTTGCTTATGCTTTTTGCTCATGCATCTTAGTGATGGCCTCCACCCTAGTAGCGATGGCCTCCAACCTAATAGCAATGGCCTCCACCTGATTTTCTTGCTTTTCGAGGTTTCGAGCCCATTGCCGGAGCAACGTCTTCCGGGAGGCTCAGTTGCCCCTCATGCTGGAGGAGGACTTTTGGAGGCGAAAGAATCTCGGCCTTGGCCTGTGGATCGCTTTCCACCTTCCATGAATGTTGTAATTTTGCGTCTTACAAGTCAGATGAACACTCAGCTTGAATCACTCAGTTCGTTGCCAAGCCGTCTGAGTGTCATGCTTGGCTAATTCCTGCCACCGTGAAAGGGACCCTGTTGCGCAATTCGCGGATGATGGGCCGGCCACGCAGTGCATGCTTGTGTGCCCTCTTCCTATGAGTGAATGAGCGGTGGCGCACGTGGCGCGTAGTCAGCTGCATGGTGTGTGTATTTTTGGAGACTCTTGGCAATCTTGCAAAGGACGGCGGACATCTGGTAGTTTGCGCCTGATTTGTGCAGGTACCGGCGAAAAAGCCGACAACCCTTGCAGACTTCGGCATTCTTGGCAATCCCAGAGCGGCTCTGCCAGGAGCGCTGCAGTGCCTGAGCCAACTGCCCAGTGAGTTTTATCTTGTGCCTTGAAGGCGTTGTTTTTCAACACAACTATGTTTCCTGAGCTGAATCGTTGGAGCATTCTTTTCCCGGAGCTGAATCGTTGGAGCCAGGACGACGACGAAAATTTGGCACGGAATGTGGCGATGCGGACGCGGACGCTCTTGGAGGTCTTTGGTGCAAAAGAGGGTGATTTTTCGTGGCTCTTTTCGTTTGGTCACGATTTTCCACGTTTGGTCCCATTAGGTGGCAGAGAAAGTGTGGCCTATTGTCCACAATGCGAAGCTCCCGAGCCTGGAGAAGTTTGAGGAGAGAGCACAAAACGAAACCTTTGCTAGCCTATGAACTCATCGCGCGATCGAATGCGAATCGAGAGTTTGAAAGACGAGAAGAAACGATGCATTTAACGATGCGTGTAATGATATGTAATGTAACGTGTGAGGTTTGAACGAAAGTGGACAGTATTCATTGCCAGTATAGTAGGCCGGATGCAGTTTTGGACCATTCATACCATTTCAATGTGGTTCGTCATGGACAAACGCCATTTGCACTTGACATGTTGGAGGAGATTTCGAAAACCATCCAAGCTGGCAGACGCTTGGGGGAAACATGGTCAAAGATGCTGATGGCACTCTCCTGAGGGAAGATAGGTGTCAACCGTGCCTTTTTTCATTAATTAACGATGCTCTTTGCTCCTAGTAGTGTCCTTGTTCCTAGTAGTAAGGCC